CCTCAGCAATGCGTTGGCCAATTTCACTGGCTCTCCATCAGGAAATCCTGGCTTGCCTAATTGATATGGCAATGCGTTTCGGGCGGTCATTGCCGAAATGGGAAGTTGATGAGAAAGTTTCTTGCGAAGGAATTTCTCATTAGGGAAAATTCCACCGTTTGATCCTTATGCAAGTGGGCAAATTATCAGGTATTGAGACATGCGCCAATTTTGCGACGAGACCTTCTTGAAGAGGCCAAATTGGCCTCTTCAACCCCTTCTTGTACCTGTTCGTGGGCCGGTTTGTCCCATGGCCGAGGCGAGGGAATGATTTCGGAGTGTGCGGCATGTCGCTGCGCTGGGAAGACGGGGGAAAGGTGAAAGAAAGAATTGCACCATAATTTTGTATTTCATGTTCATAATCTTGTGAACTTGCTGCAATTGCTCTGAACTCTCCACCATGATCAGCAGAGTGGATGGCGAGAGATGGGTTGTGAGAAGTGAGAAAGAGAAATCACAAAGAAGGAAACGTGGCCTGAAATTGTAATGCTACACGCGGACTTGGGGCATTTTTTCCGCGCTCTGACCATCTCTGTTGCACTCCCTGAATGGCTGTGGGATTCGCCTCTTTCTCCGGGTGAGATTGTCTTGCTCGTGGTGCTGATATATGGCCGAGAGAGAAATGATGACGGCGCGGAGGAAGAAGAGTTGATTGTGTACAAGTCCCAGAGAAGGAGATTCCACTGAAGTCAGTGTCCATAGTTTAGAGTGTGTTGACGAAAAGAAGCTTGGAAAAAAATGGAGGAAGAGAATGGTACCAATTTCTTCTGCGCCATCATCTCTTTCACCTCTCTCACATCGCGAGAACCCAAAGAGAGTCCTCCTCATTTTGCCACACACAAGCGCCCCAAGATCTTGTGCGTGTGCGATCGCGGGGATCACAAGAAAGCAACGGTACACAGACTCTCTTTTTCGTATCGTTGCGTAATTACAAACTCTTCTTCTCCCTCTTATTTATCGTAGATTCGTAAGAATCGCTTTTTGTGCCATCCTCGCTCTGAAATCGCATCTCATTCTGACGTTATTGTCTATTGTCTCCCTCGATGGCAGAACTCTGCACAGAGAGAGAGCCATAATCTATAAAATCAGTGAATAGTGTCGTGGGATTGTCGCATTTTCTCTTCAATCTGTCGCCCTTTTTCAGAGCGCTCGGCTGTGGTTTATTGAGGAAAGTCATGGGTTTTTATCTCTACCGCCCAATGATCACAGCTCGCAGTGTGATTTTCAATGATGATGGAAATGCGCAAGAGGAGGAAACCGATGACGAACCTATAGCGGTATTTATGGGCCTGATATTGGCGATCCCGCGAGCAATCTTGCACCATCATTTCTCCGTTCGATCGCGATCGTTATCGCTGAACAAAAAATCATCTCGAGCACACTTGTCGACTCCGAAAACAGGAGGTCAACAGAACTCCAGCAAATGCTCTTCTGGCAGTTTTACTCTGGGAGAAAAAAAAGAAGTTCTCTAATTGTTATATTCACACACTCCGCCTGTATTTTCTCCGCAGCACACTAAAAGATAAGGCAAAAGGAGTGAAATGAAGACTGCGTGGATGAATCATAAATCATACTAAATTAAAAGTGTGTGCTTCCAGTTACTCACATGATTGAATTAAGATCGGAAAAATAAAAGAAATGAGATGAGGTCTCACAAGGGTTAATGATGATCACACAATTCATTACGTGGTGAATTAGAGAGATAAAAGTTTACTTCTCATATAAATTTCACTTGGTGAATTATGCTCTGCTTTTACGCTGAGCTTTCCCGAAACGTGCTGCCAAAGGCACAATTTTTGACCGATTTTGAACATTTGAGAAGTTTTTGAAAGGTTTTTTCATACTCTAACATTGTATGGAATATATAAAAATTGTAGAATGTATGGAAATCGCTTAAGCGTGTGATTTTAGAAAAGCATTCGCACTTTTCCAGTCTTCTGAAAAGTGCTTCGATAACATTATTTCCTTTAATTTTACAATTTTATCATCTTTAGGAAAGCTTTAGAAGATCAAAAAACCTTTCCGAAATCGCGAAGATCTTTAAGATCGATTGAAAATTGTGCATTTGATAGCGAATTAGAGTTCAGGAGCATTTCTCACCAACTCATTTTCACCTGAGAAATCTCTTTCTCTTGTGATCCGCGATCGCGCTCAGCGATCTAGCGTCTTCCGTATTCAATTCCACGAAAGGGCTTCTTCGAGAGGGCATCAAACTCGCGAGAGATCAGGATTTCTTCACGGTGTACGTGGAGAAATTCCACAAGGAAGTTGGTGTCGTTAATCCTGAGTTTCTAATCGCGCAATTTTCCGGGCAAACGCGATCATATGAGAGTGATCAGTGAGGCAGGGAATTGTTTCTAGGTTGTGTGTACATCCTCAATTACATGTATGCTCCACTGCGTCGTGCACGATTGGGGAGTGTGATTACCATGGGCGAGAACGAGCTGGGTGACCGCAGCCAAAGTGGTGAGATGCCGAAGAAGCTCGATGGTGTTCTTCTAATTCCCATGATCGCGTAAGTGCGATTGTGTTTAGGTCATTGCCTCTCTCTCTCTTTCGCTCCCCATCAGCTCCAAATGTTTCACACCACACATGGCAAGGCGGTTTGATGTGAAAGTGCACACACACACGCACACGTCTCGGTGGTAAATCAAAGTCATAATAATTTCTCATCATTTTCGCGAGCATTGCTGAATCACCGCGAAATTCTGCACACGATCTGCGCGAGGAGTGTCGAGTTGCACCACCGCGCAATTCCAGGGGGATCATCCAGAAATGGGATTGTGTGCAGTTCATCGACGTGCGATCATTGTTTCCTCCCTCCGCGAGAAGAGCGCGAGACGACGAGAGAGATGTTGGATTCTTTCAGAGAAGGGAAGGGCAAAAAGTCGCCTTTCCATTGGGAGAGGCACTAATGAGGATTTCTCCGGGGAATCTCTCCCTCCTCGCCAGCAGGAGTCACACCATGAGAAGCACACTCTTCCCAAGCGCACTCACACACGCCCAGCAGCGTCCCTCCGCGCGATCGCGCATTGGGAACAGTGAAAGACAATCCCAACACAGAGCAACACTGTCGCAATGTGAAAGGGGCCGGGGTGAACAACCCCGTGTGGGCAACTCGAGAGACTCCCAACCCAGCATATGTATGAGAGAGAAGAAGTAAGCGATAAAAATACTCCACGCATTCCCAACAAAAACACACTCGAGGAACGGAGAGAAGATACTCGCCAACGAGGGGGAAGTCAATCATTAATATTCTCTTTGATTCCAGATTCTGGAATCTAAGCGTGAACTTTTGTGAAGGATTCAAACACAGTCACGCCATATAATTCCACCTCGACTGCCAGAAGGCTTCTCTCCCGAGTTATTCAATTAGAAATTACCTGCCCGGCGAGCGGAGATAAGCCATCGCGCGATGTTAGAACCATTCTAATTAGACTACGCAACGGCTTATGCAAAAATCTTAGAAAATATACAAGCATTTTGCAAAATTTATTGAGCGATAAAAGAGTCGCTTATTATTTAATTCGCTATTCCGATGGTAAAATAGAGAAGAAAGATAGAGAGCGGTAAAAAGATGTTAAAAGTTGTGATGATCTGACAAATTCTCTGAGTTAAGGCATGGATTATATTTATTAGATTAGCGATCATTGAAGTAATCGATTATTTCTTAGGTGATCCTTATTTCAAGACGTATTTATCGAATAATGGAAGAGTTTAATAGAAAAGTTATGTTAAGCGAATAAAGTTCTCTAGCAAGCGATTAGACAAATTTCCTCAGTTAATGAGTCGATCAGTTTCGCGAAACATTTTATAATTTTTAAATTTTAGCTCCGCATTAAATAAATATGATATTAATTCAGCGTCAAATAATGTGCGATCTTAATGATCTTCAGAATCAGAGGAAGAACTTATTGACTTCTTATTAGAAGCGCTGGAAGAGCAAATAGGAGGAAAATTCAAATAGGAGGTGCTCTCGCCCTTTGGCAGCTCTTGCAGTCAAGAGAGGAGTTAACAGAGCGAACATCCGGGAAAAATTGATTACTGTCAAATAAAGTGGAAAAAAGAGCGCCCAACAAAGGGAGCCGGAGTGCAAGAGAGACAGAAGCATGGGAAGGCATCAAATTGACCCCGTGTGTGACGCAGCCATGGAGGAGCAAAAGTGGGAGAATTTTAGCTTCACTCGTTCATTCACCCCGGAATTTCTGGGATTGTCACTAAATCCTGACTCTCACCGAGTCTCGCCACTCCAGTGCGAGCGCGCGCCGCGAAGGGGCGCGACAGAAGGTGACTCTGACCCCCTGTCCGGGCACTCCCGCGCCCTTCCTGGCCTCCGCGATCCCCAGGATCACGCATGGAAATCCGCGAGACGCTCGGAATCACTATTTGCTGTGATTGCTTCACTGCGCTGCGTTTAGCAAAAGACGTCTCATTAGGTGGCGTGTTTTCCGCTCATATGATGACATTCATTCACAACGCGCCACAAGAGCAACAAGTCTGTGTAATTGCGAGATCGCGCGAGAGAAAAACTCTTTTGCCAGTTTCCAACACCCAACAATCGCCACTTTTCTACGCGCGCGCGAAATTGTATATTTTCTCATGAGCGCGCCTCTGCCATTTGAGATCACGAAGGAATTTTCCTGCTCGTTCGCTGAATCGCACATCGCGATCCTCTCCACCTCTCACGTTTTTGCCACTTGCCCTCGACAAATCCCAAAATTATCATCCGCGAAGCAGCGTCAAGGAAGCTGATCGCGGAATTGTCTTTCAACCATTCGCTCTCCTTCTGTGGGAGTTGAAATAACACAGCAATTCAGGGGAATTGATTTAGGTCGCTCAGAAGCGCGCACGCCAATTCCCAATTCTAGCTTCAGTCACGAATTTAAGGATGATTCTGTGGTGGAAAACATAAAACATAATTGCTCATCACTATCTGTGTTTGGCTGAATAAAATATTTTCCTCAAAGAATGGATATACATTAATTGCAAGAAAATTTCTCAGTTGTTTGCCGTAAAAATTTCCTTCAGCATTCACAAAATCAGAACATTTAACAAGGATTTTCTTCTTTATTCTGCTGATTTTTATCAAACATAATTACTGACTGATTAGTTGCTTCTGTGGAAAGTACAAAGAAGACGATGGAATAGAAAAGGCAGTAGAAAATTCTTAAGATAAGCGAAGATAATGGGGAAAGTGGTTCGGTGATTACTGGGACTTCCCGACGGTCGGCAGGAGAGGGCATTTGTACTGCTCGCCGTCCTTGCAGCAATATTCGCGTCCCGCCGAGAAGTTGGTGTTCACCCACGCGCCGTTGCAGTCCTCGACGAACAGATAAGCGCGCTCCTTGTGGCAGTCGCGGTCGATGGCGGCGCAGAGAAGATGCCCGGAGTTCGGCAGGTGCTTCACCAGCTGCGCGAAGAGACAACGTTAGAAGCTGTGAAGCCAAATAGAGACGAGAGACTCACCGATTCCAGACACCAGTTGGTGCACTGCTTCAGGCCGGGTTTCGTGCAGGGAAAGGCTTCCTCGTGCTCGTGGATGAGAGCCGGCGATCCGCGCGGAGGCTCCTTGGAGCCCTTGGTGAATTGGCCGGAGAGGAAGACGGCGCAGCTGCACTGATGGTGCTCGACGTCGTTGCTCAGCTGCTGCTGGAGTTCCTGCAGAGACGCGCCGAATGGCGAGTGGCCGATGAGGTTCCTTCCGCCTAGGAGGCTCGTGAGATTCTTCCCTCCGATCCCGGTCGTCATGGCCAGCGACTGCTCCAGAAGCACCACAAGAAACACACTCAACACTTGGCTCTTCATGATCACTGTTGTTCGTCTGCCTTCAGCTCTTCCACGCGAGTGAGTGAGGAATTTATACGGATGGGGAGGAAGATGTCCCGGCCAGTGAAGACAAGAGCTGGCGGGGCGAAATGCCATCAATAAGTGAAGAATAAGCACAGGAAAGTAGATTATTGCAACAATTGCAAAACCATTCTCAAACAACACTACGAACGTTAAGTAATTGGGCGCGAAAAGTGGGCCAGAGCCCCGGGAAATGGTGTCAAGTTAGACTTCCTTGTGTATGAGGTTCGCCTCGCCCTTGAACACCAGCTTCTTTTCCTGGTAGCACTCGTAAGTCACCGTGATGATCTTCCGCAGGTCCGCCACTTCGATGCGAATGTTGATGTCCTTGTCCACGACGCACTTGTGCGGGAACGAGAGCTTCTGCGACACCAGGATGCTGCCCGGGCCTGGCAGCTGGCTGCCCACCAGCCCGGAGACGATGCCATTGAGCAGGGAGCCGGGAATCAGCCGGTGCTCTGGCGGCTGATCGCTGGAGTGAATCGGGTTCTTGTCTCCGATCACGCGCGTGAAGCGATCAACATCACCTTGCGAGATGCGTCTCGTGACCTCCAGCATGTCACCCTTTTTCACGTGAGCCGCCACCGTGGTGAAGCTCCTGGAAGACTCTACAGCCCTGAGAATGGTGTGCACTCTGGCCAGCATCGCGACCATCAGTTTCTGCAAGAAGACAACACGGATTTCAGCCAATAACACCTGCACTTCCTCGCCAGCGACTTCCGGTGAGCACCTGAACACTTTGGAGGAAGGATTGAGAGGTGTTTCCCTGGGAAAATTCCGCGTAGTTTGCCCGCAAAGAAGACCGGGTTTGGAGGAAAAAATACTCCACGACTGGCTGTCAAATCTGCGCAGAATCCGGCGAAGTCTGGCGATGCGCGTTCAAATGCAAACCGTCACTTTCTCTTATCCCTTAATTCTCTTTATTATAGTCTCTTTCGGGTGTCTGGTGCTCCTTACAATTACTGTGATAACATAGAATGACGATCAGATGGACTCCCGGCTCAGGCCCGAGGAGCTTCCTGTACTTCCGCGGCTGTCTTGGCGCCTGGGCGGCAGGACGAAGTGATAGAGTGGATTGACATCCGGCTGGCCCAGCGGCGGCCGAGCCCGGATGCCGTACGTCGTGGGGCGCTGACCGGGATCCCGCGAGAGCATCAGCTGCAGCAGCGCGTACTCGCTGGTGTGCCGCTGTGGGAAATCCGGTGGGAATGTGTTGGAGCGCACGCCCTCCAGCGTCTTAATGCGCTCCATTTCGGTGCCGAAGATCACGAGCAGCTCGAACAGGATCAGGCCCAGCGAGTAGATGTCCACCTTGTAGTCGTAGTGCTTGCCCGCCATCTGCTCCGGCGACATGTACAGATGCGTGCCCACCTTCTGCGTGTGGGTCTTCTTGGGCTCCAGCGGCGACTTGCGCGCGTCGCTCTCGTCGCTGCTCGCCATGTCAGTCACCAGGCCGAAGTCGCCGATCTTGATCTGCCCGTCCAGCGAGAAGAAGATATTACTGGGCTGAGAAGACACAGAATCATATAAGATGCAGTCTTATGCTTGTGGCAAATGCTATAATTACCTTGAGATCTCGATGGATGAGTCCCTTCTCGTGAACATATTCCACAGCTCTGACGATCTGGTCGAAGATCGGGATGACCTGGTCTTGCCTCTCCGGCTGACTGCTGATCTGCAGCCACTCCTTCAGGCTCTGCTTTTGGCACAGTTGCATCTGAATGTACAAGTACATTCGCGTCGTGCTGGCCGGGCCGAAGATCACGCCGCCCTCGCTCGTGAGATCCAGCGACATCGGGCGCTTCCGTCGGCTGCGTCTCCTTTCGCCGCAAGAGCTCTCCAGCTTGGAGTGCGTGAAGTGCGTCGGCAGGAGCGGACTCTTGGACTCCCTCTCGTCCAGAGTGGCGTTGTGGCGGAACTCTATGAAGGAGTCGTCGTCGTCCTCGCCGTTCTTGAATACTGCGCAATCGGCTCCGCTGTCCTCGAACTGAATGAATGACGAGTCATCGTCAGCCCTATCACGTGACTTTGTCCCCAAATCCTCCTCACTGAAGACGTCGCCATTCTGCATGTTCAGCTTGAAGATCCACTCATTAGCTTTCTTCGCCGGCGTGCTCTTGGCACTCTCAGTTCTGCTCTCGTACGACGGTGGCAAGGAAGTCTCCGTGGGCGTGCCGATGTCGATGGACGTGGACATGGCCTCGCGCGCCATCCAGATGCGGTCCTCGTTGTCCTGCCAGCCCGGCGGCGGTGTCTCCACCCACGCCTGGAAATACCTCACGATGTTCTGGTGCTCACAGTTGGCCAGCGTGCGCACTTCGCGCATCACGCGATCGCGGCTCTCCTTCTTGCTGGGCAGCACAATCCTCTTGATGGCATACTTGCAGTGGTCGATCTTGTTCTTAGCCTCGAAAACCACACCAAATCCGCCCTTGCCCAAGCACTGCAGCATCTCGAAGTCCGTCGTGAAGCGAGACGTGTAGCTTTCGCCATTGTTGGACTCGGACAGCGATCGATTCCTCGTTAAGTCCAGCATCTCTTCCGTCTCTTCATCATCGTGGTCCTGCAGCTTCGCGAAGGGTGTCTCGACGAGGCGCTCAATCACGACGACATCCCGCTCGGGCTTTACTTGGCGCCTGTTGTTGATGAAGAGATTGATGACGAAGCTGGACGTGAGCGCAATCACGAAGATCTCCTTCCACCAGAAGAGCAGGGATTTGAAGCGGAACTTCAGTGGATCGTCTAGTAAGTCTTTCATGCGCAACTCCTTGCTCTCCTCCTCGCTCTGCACCACTTCTGACTGCGACGTCAGATTGTGTTTGTCGCAGAGCGGATGTTTCTCCTCGACGGCCGGATAGAGATAGAATCCGTTGCCGTTGACGAACTCCGAGGCGTACAGCACAGACAAGGCAGTGCCTTTGCTCTCCAGCGACTCCTCCTCACTCTCTGATATCGTCTCCGTGTCGTACTGAATGAGCTTCCAGGCGGATGTCGCCGCCGGATAAGGTTTCCACGGGATCTTCGAGTACTTTTGCGCCTTCTTGTCATCCAATCCGAACGGCGGTTGCAAGGTTTTCCGCATTACTTCCGACTCCTGGATGTACACTTGCTTCCTGAACATCCCTAAGTAAACTGATGGCGGAATTGTGTCCCTCGCAGGATTGGGTATCGCTTCATTGCCATCCCACAGGGATTGAGCAGAGTCAAAGAGGTTCAGCGTCTGCAGATTCTGCGTCCCGTCAGACTGCCAGGCGCTTACAATTGGATAGTCGAACTGAAAGAGGATGACATAAGAGTCAATTAGTCACTGCTTTATCACTATGATAATGGCATAGGTGCAAAAAATCATTCTAAACACTATAGTTGATTGTGCTGAATGTCTATAAAGAGCTGCAGAGGTTGCAGATAAGATTATCTCCCGTTATCACACGGTTGTAGACAAAATAGAGTACTTTCGATGATGTTGTTTGCGTTTTTTTCTAGTTATTTCCATAATAAATGACGCACGTGAAGAGAAGTGTGCATTTGTGTGTTCTTGCAAGTGAGAAGGGCTTTAAAATAAAAGCCACGCCCATTTACAAGCTCCTCCTTCTGTCTTGAGTTTAGATTTAGTCACATTCTACTCACTTTATGCTTCCAGAGGATTGTGTTGGGCGAAGTCTTGCTGATGGCACACACCAATCCTTCGGGAACAATCAGTTTAATCTCATAGCCGAGGTCTGTTTCAGCCTCGCTGTCCAGGTGGCAGTTCTCACTGCGCGCGATGTCCATCTCGTGATGTCCGACGCTGAAATTCCAGCGCTCGCCGCCCGTGCGCGGATCCACGGCGCGAACAGTCTGCGTTTGGCGTCTCAGAATGATGACGTCGTCAAGGAGGGGATCGTGCACCTGACCGACGCCCTCCTCGAGCGCATCCGTGCGGTTCTGGCAGCCTCCGATGCTGCACTCGTAGATAACCTGGCCAGTGCGCATGGAAATGCCGTAAGATCGGGTCTCTTTGCCGCCCGAGATGACGACGTCGTTGGAGAACTTGAAGGAGGCCGTGAGGAGCTGGTCGGCTGTGATGGGGATGGCCTCGATTGTCTGCCCGTCGAATTGGTACAGGCTTCCGCTCAGCGACGGAATCATGCGCACCATCCGGCCGTTGTTCGTGAGCTCCAGACTGTGGATGCTGGAGGAGAGCAGGCTGCCCGGACCAGTGGGCACACTCCACCGCACCGAGCCGTCCACGTCCAGAGCCGACAGGCGACCGTCCAATGTGGTGACAAAGAGTAATCTGGAAGAGAGATTGCACGACTGTGACCTTGTGCGCGTATCACGGAAAGCGAGAGCAAATCTCGCGATGCGTCACCTGTTCTCCGATGATCTCTCGCTGCTGTCGCGGCAGTGGGTCAATTTCTCCACATTGTCGCCCCCACGGACCTCGGAGGCGGTCAGCAGCACGGAAGTCACGGCCAGGGACGTGACAAGAAGCGTCCCTCTCGCGAAGCGCTCCCAGCTCATTTCAGCGCGCTGCTCTTGTTGTCTGTCGTCGGATCTGCGCCCAATCGCAACACCATAATCATCTGATCACTGTACTCCTGGGCGCACTACTGAAAACTCGTCTGGATTGTGATTAAATCTCCTGGCAAAATTGCACCACGGAAGATCAGCCACTGACAGAGTTGTGAAATGTCACAACATCCACGGACTCACCTTCAAGCTGTCGCCCCTGCCCTCTGGCGGGGTTTTGGCCCTTCCAGGCGGGAAGGAAACTCACTTTCTGGGCACAGTTTTCCAGGATTCTACAGGACGATTAAGCCTCTCACACAAGAAGGATGATTCTTAGCCACTTACCACTTTATTCTGCCAGGAAATTTCCGAGGTAAACACTGAATCATCAGTCAAACCACGAGAAGACAGAGTAAATTTTTTTCTGTTTACTCTTTACACAGGTGACATTTGTTTATTAGCGCAGTGGAGAAACTTCCGGACAATGTCTGCATCTTTCAAGTTCTACTACGATCTTCTCTCTCCGCCATCCAGAGCTCTGATCACCTTATTCCGCGTGGCGAACATCCCGGCAGAACCTATTCCTGTCGCCCTACGGAAGAGTGAGAAAACTTCCCTTGCACAGGTCAAAATCCAAAGTTCACTGTCTTATCTCGGTTTCCAGGGGAGCACTTGACTGAAGAGTACCGGAGAGATGTGAACAGGTTCCCGAAGATCCCCGTCATTCACGACAATGGCTTCAGGCTGTCGGAAAGCGTGGCAATCTTGAGGTACTTGAAGAAAACCCGGGGATTTGATGATTTCTGGTATCCGGAAGATGCTAAAGCTCGAGCGCTTGTGGATGAGTATCTCTCGTGGACGCACAACAACATCCGCATCGCTGCGGGCATGTATTTCTTCGCCAAGTGGCGCGATCCGCTGATGACTGGCCAGAAGCCGGACGAGAAGAAGGTGAAGAAGCTCGAGACTCAACTATCAAATACTCTGGATGTGATTGAGAATGTCTGGCTGAAGACGACGCCCTATATTGCCGGCGAGAACATAACTGTGGCGGATATCTTTGCGGCCTGCGATATTGAGCAGCCTCGTGAGTATCAATAAGCGCAGATAAACACTCTTGATGCTGACGAATCTCTGTTTCCAGGCGTTTGTGGCTTCGATCCTTTGGCTTCCCGGCCTAGAATGACTGCTTGGTTTGGCCGCGTGAAGGCAAAGCTCGATCCTGCTTTCACAGAGCATCATCAGTTCGTCTACAAGTACGCTCAGAAGTCTCAAGAGCCCGCCAAACTGTGAGAAATTCTCCAGCGCGCCGGCGTGACTTCCACAAATTCCACAGCAGGTGTTTTTCATGCTGTCAAGAGTTGCAGCTGAAGAGTGATTTCTGCAATAAATACTGGTGGCCTGGGAAGACTCTTACGTGCGTTCAGTGTCTCGTGAGAGACTTAGAAAAGTCCCAATGGACGAGACTAGCGCGGGAAGAGTGAAGTTCCTGGACGAACATATGGAGAATTACAACATTGAGGTGAGTTTGGAGGATTTCCACTGCTTCGTGTCAGCTAATGATGGCCTTTGCAGCACTCGGCGCTCCACAGGAAGCTGCAGAGTAAGGTGGAGGCGCTGAAGATCATGCGGAAGGAGCTGGAGCGCTTCCGGACGGAGCGCGACCAGTTCAAACTGATGGCGGAAACCCTGCAAATGCGCTACACGGCCATCAAGAAAAGCCTACATTCGAGCGATTCCGGGAGCGTGGAGTACATGGAGAGATCGAGCGTTGCTGCTCTGGTGAATGATCTGCGTGAGAAGAACACTTCTCTGGCCACGGATCTCGAGTGCCTGCGACAGAGTTTGTCCGAGAAGGAAGGCGACATTCGCGTGCTGAGGGAGATGCGATGTCAGCTGTGTGAAAAGTGCCAGAGAGACAGATTCTCTGGCCAGGAAGACTCTTCCCAGATTGCCTGGAATGAGGAGAAGTCCAGGTTCATTGCGCAACTGGAGGAGTTGAAGAAGAAGGTGAGTTGGACGTGATGAGATGAGGAAACTGTGACATTTTCCCCCCTTTTCTTGCCCAGAATGCGCAGCTCAAGTATGACTTCCGGGCGCTGCTGGACGAGAAGGAGGAAGTGGTGACGGAGCGGGACGCCTTCAAGTGCAAAGTTCACAGACTCAATCATGAGCTGAGTATCGCGCTGAAGGGCGGTGAGTCGCAAGTCAAAGTCCTCGATATCGATTCGCTGGTGCGGGAGAACAAATATTTGCAGGAGAGACTGAAAAATGTGGAGAACGAGCTGGAGCTCGTACAGCATTCTCTCAACAAGTACAAGGTGAGAGAGTGCGGTGTGCACTTTTCCCTGCGACTGAGAGCTCTCTAATTTATTCCCAGACGATGCTGGAGATGAAGAGGAACAAGAAGGGAGTCGTGAAGCTCGGCAGCAGCAACAGTGATATGATAATGTCGCACAAACAAGGTACTTATGAGGAAAGCGCTCGTGTTTGCGCCCGCTTCGTGAACTCCAGGAAAATTGATGGGAAAGTCAGGGCCAAATCGCGTAGAACAGTGGCGTAGCGAGAAATTTGTCAGTAGTTTTGATGGGGTTTCATTGTTTGTAATTCTGCAAAAAGCTGATATAATTTTGCACAGAAATGAAGCAAATTTCATCCGTGGAAAGGGGTGAAAAGTCCTTCACTACGTCACTGCTGCATAATTTGTCTCTCAGTTTTCCACTCTAGAAATCATTAGACACACATTTGTGCCACTTATGAAAATGCTAATGTGCTCATGCAATTCGCAGTGAAGGTTCTTCTGGAGCGAGGCACGGATGCCGAGCTGCCTAACAAGGCGGCCACGATTGCTGACCTCAAGAGTCTGTGTCTGGCTCTGCTGGACAATGTGAACGACAAGAGTCTGGCGCTGACGCACCAGAAGAAGGCCAATAAGATCCTGGCACTGCGGATTTCCGAGCTGGAGCAGAGATTGGGGCAGTCGAGTTGGACGGCGTCGCCGTCCGAGGTATTGCTCAACGGCTACTCGGCGTCGAATGTGGACAAAGATCTGGAGGGCGTCGCGTCGAGTGCCAACGCCTCGGCTTCCACCGGATCCGTGTCGAACGATGAGAGTGAGGAAGAGGAGAATTCCTCTGCGTCCGAGCGCGAGTCTGTGGTCGATTGCGAGGAGAAGCTGGAGGATCTGCCACCGGAACTGGCGCAGCTCGTGGAGAAGGCGCTCAGAGAGCACGAATCGAGCGCAGAGTCCCAATTAGAGGCAGAAATGCAGCTGAATTGAAATTCTTCTGAGGTGTTGCACAGGAATGGTGGAAAAGGAGTCATAAATTTTCACATTTTCTCTTGGATTTACAAGAAGAAAATGTTCCAGCAAATCGTCTCGGGAATTTTTATGGCGGAGAACTATTGATTGAAGCATAATTGCATTCGGACTGTGGAAACCTGGAAGTCTCGAGCTCTAATTGGAGTGTTCCATTTTCTTAATTTCCCTCATGTAAATAGAGAATTTTGGTGGCTGTATTAAATAATGTGCGCTGAGAAATGCCTTTATGCACTGGAAAATCTTGTTGAGAATGTTCAATGAGCTTTTGTGTTAATCTCTGGCTAGAAGATGTTTCAGATTATCTGGAAACACAGTATTTCCTTGTTAGTGTGCAAGTTCTCTGGAAATTAGAGTGCACTGGAGATCAACGAAAATTGATGCGCTTCTGGGTGTGCTTGATATGGGAGTTGTGGTGCTTTAAGTGGATTTTCTCGGAAATTTCCATACATTTCTACGAAATTGTCGAACCTCTAGCCGAGCCATCAATGGCTATATTGCCTGTCTGGCATTTTATAAATCTCCTCAATTTCTCACAGTCAATTTAGAGGGAGTGGAATTGCAGCAAACACGTAAATGCACATCAACCAGGGACACTAATGGCGCTCCCGCGGTGGATTTTGGGGTGCTCGCGAGACCGCCCGGGGTGAAAAGAAAGCATATTTCAGCGTCTCGAGATTGCGAGTTTATTCGCAGCAGTCACGCGACACTTTAATTACAACGATACAAAGGTGACTTGGAGGCTGAAGAGCTCTCGAGCAGCACTTTGTGGCCGTCTGAAGTCTGCAGACGCGGAGCCAAAGAGGTGAAGCTCCTCTCTGTTTTGGGCGATTACGACTCTGAGCGGATACGAGGGCGGGAAAGGCTAATTTGGCGAAAAGACGCAGCGAAGGATCATTTATCGAGGGCTCGGCTTCAAGAGGGCGGCAAGGATATCGTGAAAATGACCCCCGAACTATTAATATTGTAATCTGATTGAGGCGATAATTGATGATTAGCTGAGCGAGAGTTGCCTTTGGCGTTATTTGCGCCTGATAAACATCGATTTTCCCCGTGTTTGGCTTCTTTTCACCCAGCGTAAGTGGGTGAAAAAAATCGAGAACTTTTCAGTTTTCCCATAAAGTGGAGAGAAAGTGAAAAGCAATGATGATATTGTGTGAGAAATAGTACTTATAACACTTATAACTTATCGCTAAGTATTTTAGCCTCGCAGTTGCATTTGAGAGAAAATGCCTTGTGCGATTTTAAAGGTATTTTGAGCCTTGCAGGGAAAATATGCAGAGTACAATTAAACTATTTACAGCGTCAAACCTATGACAATGTACAAACCGAGCTTTTTTTCATCCGCCAGAACCCAAATGCTACAATAAAATCGTGAATAATGAACAAATTAAACAGAAAATACACGCAAAATCCCCAAATTCCCATCTCAAATGAGTAATTACTATTTTAATAGCAGAAAAAGAATGCATTAAAAACTGAATCGCATGATATTTTATGAAATTATTCCACTTTATATTAAGCCGTATTATAACAGAATGGAAATCAAACTTTTCAATTTGCCAAGCTATCGATTTCCCAAATGACGAGGAGCGCATTTTAAAATAATACAAAAACAATAAGCACTTTTCATTCATTATTGTTTACCTGCAGCACAGCATAATTTATACTGCAGAATATTTTCCGTGTAATTGTTTTCGGGACGTGAATGGAAAATTCGCAAAATCTAATGGGAAAATTGGCAGATTTTGTGCTTGTGGCTTTGGTCGATTGGGGAATAACTCATCTTCTGGCTGAGAAGTGTGTTGGAAGAACATTGTGTACTCATTCACCCTCCGATAATAGTACACAAATTACATCTTGTGGAGGAATTTCTTCCCTGCCACAGCAATATTTCGGCCGGGCAGCGCACAATGCGAGGGGAATTCCGTGAATGGGGCGGAAAAGCGAAGATCGGGGACAAGAAGGCGAGCGCCACTCCACGCCCAGCTCACATGAAGTGGGAGAGACATTTATTGATTATTAAGTTGAATGGCACAAGAAGTGGAATTTTGATGGTTTTATGCTGAAATGGAAAATCCACCCTTTGTGCTGGATCTTCCCCATCATCTGTGTAACCGAAACCATGTCATTAATTTATATTCAATTCATTAACATTTTAAGGGATGCTCCTCGTCTCTTGTCTTCCCCGGGTTCTCCGGCAAGATTGAGGACAATGTTCAAAGTGCCACACATTTCGGCGCTAGACCATAAATAAATGTTCAGCCAGAGAGTCGCTCTTGGGCTAATCTTCGGCCGAGGCTTAGTGGGAGATGATCATCTCGGATATCATTTGCACACCCTCATATTTCGGCGACGGGGGGAAATTTGTCGCAACCCCAAAAGTCACAAATGGCCCCCAAGAGTCTCAGGTCCGGGGTGTTCTTGGGAAGATGGCGGCGAAAATGGGATTTTCATCATCATTCATTGGTCTCCTGACCAGAAGGCATCGTGATTAAAGTCCTCGTCCGAGATCTCTTGGCTTCGGGGCGTCAATTTCGCATTCATGGAATTTTGCAGTGGCATCACTGTGATACGAATGGGATGCAATTCACTTCTCTTTAACTTATTAATGCAAGAAACCATATCTCTCACTCTCAGCCAAAGAACATATTGGAGATTTGCCACTCGCAAGGCTTCGCAATATGATGCTTTGTGCAAAAGCGGATTCCAATGATATTCATCCAACTCAATCCAAAGTCATTTCCACTCAATTATTCCCTCCTCAGATTTAATGAACATTCATCCCACTCTTGTCATGACACCATAAGACGATCTTCTCAAAACGATGGTGTTGAGAGTCGTTGGGATTGGGAAATTCCACTTATTGGCAGATTAAAGATCCGGGAAGTCAATCATTGAGTTGGGAATTGAGAAAGAAAATGCACACTTTCTGGTGGAATTTTTCTCTGCCATCGCACAAGTCGAAATGCACACAGAATGCAAAGTATGCAAATTTACATTCATAAACGCTTTTCTGCACGAAATCCCGCCGTAATCCTATATTTTATCCACTCAATTTTATTCCTCACTCCTCAATTCGCTGCGATTCTTAGAGTGGAAGAGGTTTGCAGTGAATTTCCTAATGTTCCTTTGCGTCATGTGTCTGATGATGTGAAAGTAGCGGAAAGTTATTAAATGCATTAAAAATAATTTCACACCTTTGGCACTTTGAGGAAGTTTTTACTAAATGGATTGAATTAATCAAATTTCATCTGCTTTTTTTTTATTAATTGTGAAGTCAGATTAGAAAGAAAAAAAACCAAGAAAAAGATGAATGTTTCTGTTTGAAGAAAAACATGGGAATTCACTTCAGGTTTTGCACTTCAAATTGCATGGTAAAAGAGTTACATTTCCGAAATGAATAGATTGCAAATGTTAACGCGAAATATTTGAATTTTCGACAACTTTTATGTTTGTATTTGTCAAAATATTGCCTTCCAGAAGACTCTATAGCAAATTATTACACGAGAAACTTCCCTCGTGAAAGGGTTAAGAAAGCTCTGCGCTTAAGTAGGTCATCGTCGGAAGGAAGTTTCCGCATTGTGTTTCTTTCTGGCGGGATAATTCAAAGCGCTCGGGGATTAATGTGATGCATGGCAGGAAAAATGTGAATTGCAATTGAAAAGTGTGGCGCTGACTTCAGGTATTCGCTGTGGAAATTCCCCGAAAACCCTTCCGCATTCGCCATGGCGCCTGGTTGGGTTGTGATTTTCTTTTAATAAGCTTATGCCAGCACAGAAGAATCAGTGTTCGCCATGTTTCGGGGTGTTTGCGGAATGCGGCGCTGGTTGTGGGAGGGAAAAAGTGCATCTCTGGCGAAATTGTTTTGGGGTCGAGGGTGAAATAGGGGCTGAAAAATCCGGTTACAGCATATGTGGCTTGTCTAATGGAACTCTCCGCTTTGCGCGCATGCAAAATTGAGAGTGGACGCGGTGCATTTTTGCAATTAATCGACAAACATTATGAACGAGGAGTCGCTGGACGCTGTCCAATGCGCGATATCGAGTTTTGCGGCAACTTTTTATCATGCGCTGCACTGTCTGATGTGCATCCGGAGAGTCCTGGCCGATCTGCAGCGGATGCTGAGCGCGCGGGGCCACAGTATCGAGTCCATAAAGCAAGAGAGGCCAGATGGTGGCTATAATTTTTCAATTTTGGAGCCTGGAAGCCACCCATTGAACACGTAGCCTCGTGCCACCCCGGAAAAATTTACATGACTTAAAAATGGGATTTCACTATTGCTGAATGGGTGTGTTTGTTGGCCGGGAGCAGCTAGATTTTTCAGCCAGTGTCGCCACCCAATTTCTCATGCCTTTGCACTCTTGCCTTCTCTCGCCCTCGTGATTTAACGACCATCGTGTTTTCCCGGTTACATAATTTCGAGACACACTCTCAACATGGAAATCGGGGCAGAAATACAATTTCCACCCTGCGGAAAAAATGCCTTTCCTATTGAGAAAGTCTGGTTTTTGCGCCAAAAGTTGAAGGCGAAAGTGTTTGTTTTATCTCTCTGGGGAGGAAAAAAAGTGCGCCAGCAATTTGCTGAGCAACTTCATCAGCGAATTCTCAGCTAATTGGTGTAAATGTGATAATTTAAAATGATTTCTCTATTAAAATGCTAATTTAGAGTATAATTTGCAGCCCGCCCGGGAGAAATATGTAAGTGAATACAGATGATTAATTGAATTAGGAGCTCTGCTGCAAGAGAGGAGGGTCGCTGAGCGCCCGGAGTTCCTTTGCTAATTGCAAGTGTAATCTGTACTGAAAGAGTTGGAGGTTGTTTATGGTCTGTGAGAGTGTACAGAAAATTCAATTAAAAGCAGGAAAATACACACAGCATCTCAAAGCATGAGTCAATTCGCAGAAATGCCGAGTGAAAAATTGCCTTTTGATTAATTAAGTCATTTGGAGAGGAGTTTAAGAGCTCTTTTCGCCCTTTTTTTTCCTCCCACTCAACGGAGGGACTTTAGTTTGAGAATGCTTGACGCATTTTGAGGGATGAGAGCTTCTTTTTGGTGTTATTTTGATTACTCTCTGGCTGTGGTTTTTGTCACATGAGAAAATGTGATAAGCAAAATCTGGAACTTTTTCAATTTTGTCTTGTTTGTCAACAAATCAGATACAATATTTCGTGTACTTTCGCACACAATACAAATTGTGTGTGTGCGC